CCCTCCTCCACCCCCACCTGACTATGAAAAGGTGGCAAATCGTTGACCGCCGTTGGCGAGTGAACGACGTCGTGGGCCCCACGTGTGCAAGCGACTGCCGGAGTCGCGAACGGACTCGACTTTATTCGCTGGCAAGTGGCGGTGAATCGAGGGAAAGATTCGCCTCCCCCCCCCCCCCCCGAGATCACGTTTTGTTTTGCTCACGGGCCATCCCAGAGGGTCACATTTCTCTTGGCCTACTCTTCCACGCTCGTCTAGACGTCTTGGCAACAAAACAACGGAGAGAGTTACCCACGTTGTCCCGAACCGCGCGCTACCTGATCAATCGACGTAACTGGTGGTGGTGGGGTGCGGTGTGGGGTGAGGTGAGGTGGGGTGCGCTGGGAGGTCCCCGGGGGGCATTTTTAAGAGACCCTGCCTCGTTGTTTCAGCTGCCGCGCCGGGAGGTCGAGACGAATCGGTGACCTCTGTCTGGATCCCAAGGCCGGTGCGCTACGTTGACCGTAACGCCGTGGCAGCGTCTCCAAAGCAAGCTGCCATTATCCTTGCCCACGTGCCGTGTCCCCCGTACAGTCGTCTGTACCTTTGCAGGCGGGCTTATAACGGAAGCCGTAAACGCTACGGTTGTATTTCATTGTTTACAATCGCACTCACAACTCACAGAAATTGAAAGGTGCGCGCAGCTAATGCTGACTTCAGAATCCAAATATTTATTTATGCTGCTGGAGGAATCCGATGAGCTATAAAGCTCTTTTTTCACAGATGTCCAGTAGGGGCGGTTAAGAAAGTTACAACAACAAACAGTACAACAACACACGGTAGTAGTTGTGCAAAGTATAAGAAAGGTAAACTAATCACCCAAACGCAGACAAATACAAATAAACCTTCCCCATCCAAGCAGACAAAGCCCACTCAGGTATTCACTTGTTTTTTTTTTCAGAAGTGACCTGGCCACAAATGAGAGCTCAATAAAGTGGCCCCATCATTTGGACACTTAAGAAATCATCGAAATGATCTCAATGCATGTTTAGAAACGTGGAGGGGAAAGGATTAAAACCCGAGGACCCGGGGGAGAGAGACACGCAAACTCCAAATATACAGCAGGCGCGAGTCTAAAGATCGGACCGTGATGTGTTGTTATCTTTAACAACACCATGATTAAACAACAACAACAACGTTACCTTCACACGTCTTGTCTCTCAATATTAAACAAACAACAATTAGGGTAAAACCCCCAAGCTTTTCAATGCACACAATTTTATTCGCGCTCAAAAGTAGAAAACTAAATTGTGTTTTGATCCCAGAATTAATCAAATTTGATGTGCTCAATAATAGTGGGTGCCTTGCGTAAATAAAATTAAACATATCGAGAGGAAGCCACCCACGTGCTGCTCTCAAATGGCAGTGCGTTCTTTTTATTTATTTCGCTAACGATCCGTCAAACACGTGGTGCGGTCGTCGTGCGGTATTTCTAAAGTGCCCCCCCCCCCCCTCCTTCGACGTTGTTGTTGTATTGTTGTTGTTGGTGTTGTTGCTGCTGTTGCTAAAGCAGAACCACGGATATCCCGTGTAAAATAGGCGGACAAGGACCGGCTAAACGGGACCGCCGTCATCCGTGTAACGAATCACAGAATAAACGTCCAGCAGCATTGCAGTTCAAAACTCTCCCCATCCGCCACGCGCTCTTCTTTGTTGTCTGCGTTGTTTCGGCAGCGTTGTGTGTGTGTGTACGTGTGTGTGTACGTGTGTGTGTACGTGTGTGTGTGTACGTGTGTGTGTACGTGTGTACGTGTGTGTGTGTACGTGTGTATGTACGTGTGTGTGTACGTGTGTGTGTACGTGTGTGTGTACGTACAAGCAACAACTCTGGGCCGGTTCCGACAAACAGTGGCTCGCCGGCAGTGTCGGGCTCGCTTCAAGCAACCATTGCCGTTCCGGTGATGCCCCTCTGGAACCGACAGGCGAGCTGCTAGGCCGGCCCGGGCGAGGTTTTTAAAATGTAATTTGACATTATAGTACACGTGTTCATTTGTTACGCGGGATGACCGTGATCCCGTCTGATCGCCACTTTACCCGGCTGTTGTACACGGGAGATCCGTGGTGTTGTGCGTGTGAGCACAGCAGCATCGAACGACAAGATTCATCACAATATTCATCACGATATTCATCACGATGTTCTTCACAATATCCATCACAATATTCATCACGATATTCATCACAACATTAATCACAATATTAATCACGATATTCATCACGATATTTATCAAAATATTCATCACAATATTCATCGATATTCATCGCAATATTCATCAAAATATTCATCACAATATTCATCACAATATTCATCACGATATTCTTCACAATATTCATCACGATATTCTTCACAATATTTATCGCAATTTTCATCACAATATTCATCACAATATTCATCACGATATTCATCACGTTATCCATCAAAATATTCATCACAATATTCGTCAATATTCATCACAATATTCATCACAATATTCATCACAATATTCGTCATGATATTCATCGCAGTATTCATCACAATATTCATCACGATATTCTTCACAAGATTCATCACAACATTCATCACAATATTCATCACGATATTCTTCACAATATTAATCACAATATTCATCACAATATTCATCACAATATCCATCACAATATTCATCACAATATTCATCACACGATTCATCACGGGATTCATCATGCAGTGGAAGAGTGAAACGGCGTCCTTCAGGGACACTGCACAACTAACGAGGTCTTTAACTATCGCACACAACAGGCTTGGTGAAGATTGTGTAATCATGCAGAATACTGAGATTTGTTTTACCTAAAGGTTTTAGCCCCCTTAGAGAGCTGATCAAATTTGTGTCGTTCAGACCCTCCACCACCCGACACAGCCAAGCAAAGTAAATGGTCACGCGGTGTACGCGCGGTTATAATATGGGTTGGTCTCTGGAACGTCGAACAACCACGGTATTCTCACTACCGTACCACATTTAGCAGCAATTATATGTTATGTATATTCGCGTAGTATATTGTCAAATATATTCGTGTTAAGCATACTCGTGTATTGTAGTAAGTATATTTTATATTCACGAACTATAATGTTACGTACATTCGTGTACTAGTGTTATGAATATTCGTGTACTATAGTATTTAATGTAATCGTGTACTATAGTATTTAATATACCCGTGTACTATAGTATTTAGTAAATTCGCATACTATATAGTATTTAGTATAATCGTGTACTATAATGTTAAGTATATTCTGTGCTAAGTTTGTTTTAGGCAGAGCTAATCTTGGAGTTGAACAGATCATTTGGCCACTGTCGATTATTGGATTAAAAGGCAGGCAAAGACGAAGACCTCCAGTATAGCCTACGCATGCTCTTGGGCCAAGTGCTACTCGTGGCAAGCACTACACCCGGACGCCTTTGTCTCTCACGAGCGATGACGTTTCCACACCGTAGCCGCGGATAGTAATTTAAGGCTGAGTCGACCTAGGGTACAGGCGCAGCGATGATTCAATTAATGACCAAGGATGTTCGCTGTGACCGGGAATCGAACCTGGGGAGCCGGGATCGTAACGCAGAACGCGAACCACTGAGCCACCGCTCCCAATATACAAAGATAAAGATCCCCGTATAGCCTTAAACGGGCTGTTGGGGCAAGTGCTGTTAGCGAGTAGCACCTATGAAGGCCCGAACGGCACACGAGGTGGCGGGTGGACAGAACCACGCCCGGCCGCCTTTGTCTCCCCAGTGGCGATGTTTACGCACCGCGCCAGGTACTCATTTGAGGCTGAGTCGACCTAGCGGAGGCCCAGGACAGGTTCAGATAATCGTCACCGGTGTTGGCCGTGATCGGGAATCGAACTCGGGCCGCCGGGTTCGTAGTGCAGCGCGCTAACCCCTACACCACCGCTCCCCATACACACAAAGACAACAAAGACAAAGATCCCCCGTATAGCCTCTACCAGACTGTCGGGGCAAGTGCTGTTAGCGATGTAGCACCTACGAAGGCCGGCACGGCAACACGAGGTTGGTGGGTGACCGGCGCACAACGCCCGACCGCCTTTGTCTCCCTCGTGGTTACGTTTACACACCCCACACAAATAGTCACTCGCCACGCACCGCGAACCCATCAAGTGGCCTCGCTCCCCTCCCATTCGTGACTCGCAACACCCCCACCCCGCTCCACTCGCCAGCCCCCTTGTGACGTCGCGGTGTCCCTCTGTCTCTGTGTGTGTCTCTCTGTGTGTCTCTGTGGCTCTCTATCTGTGTGTCTCTCTGTGTCTGTCTCTCTCTCTGTGTGTCTCTCTCTCTGTGTCTCTGTGTGTCTCTCTGTGTGTCTCTCTGTGTGTGTCTCTTTGTGTCTCTCTCTCTGTGTGTCTCTCTCCATGTGTGTCTCTCTCCGTGTCTCTGTGTGTGTGTCTCTCTCTGTGTGTGTCTCTCTGTGTCTCTCTCTGTCTCTCTGTGTCTCTCTCTGTCTCTCTGAGTCTCTCTGTGTGTGTCTCTCTGTCTCTCTCTCTCTGTCTCTCTGTGTGTCTCTCTCTGTGTGTGTCTCTCTCTGTCTCTGTCTCTCTCTGTGTCTCTCTCTGTCTCTCTCTCTGTCTCTCTGTGTCTCTCTCTGTGTGTCTCTCTCTGTGTCTCTCTCTCTGTGTCTCTCTTCCTGTGTCTCTGTGTCTCTCTCTGTGTGTCTCTCTCTGTGTCTCTCTCCCTGTGTGTGTCTCTCTCTGTGTCTCTCCCTGTGTCTCTCTCTGTCTCTCTGTGTCTCTCTCCCTGCGTCTCTCCCTGCGTCTCTCTCTCTGTGTCTCTCTCTGTCTCTCTCTCTCTGTGTCTCTCCCTGCGTCTCTCTCTCTGTGTCTCTCCCTGTGTCTCTCTCTGTCTATCTGTGTCTCTCTCCCTGCGTCTCTCCCTGCGTCTCTCTCTCTGTCTCTCTCTCTCTCTCTGTGTGCCTCTCCCTGCGTCTCTCTCTCTGTCTCTGCGTGTGCTCGGCACGAACAACAATAAGAATCCCCGCAGCAGGCGACGTGAATATTCATGAGAGGCATCATCGCCTCGAGGCTCCTCGGCGCGCCTATAAAGAGGCGGGCGGGCGGGCGCGCCACGCGAACTGCTGACGACGCCGCGAGTCGGGAGAGAGAGCGGCGCTGATGATGATGATGATGACCACCAGGCGAGTACTTGTGCGAGCGTTCGAGTGACACCTACGTGCATGGCAATACGCACATACAAGGTACGCGTGTAACGTTGGATCAACGTTGGCTCAACGTTGGATCAACGTTGAGTCAACGTTGATGCAGTGTCGGTGCAACGTTGCACCAACGGCCAACGTTGCTGGAACATTAGCCGTTGGTGTAACGTTGAGCCAACGTTGCTGAAACGTTGGCTCAACGTTGTGGCCGACGTTGGGTTGACGTTGAGCCAACGTTGCACATCCACCGTGTATGTATTACTACATATACGCACACATACGTGGTAAGCGGGTACATGCCATACACGTACCACAGAAGGTGTTGACAAGGATCCCCCATGCAGCGCCCTTTCGGGGTGTTGGGGGCCAGTGCTGTTAGCGAGCGCCTATTAAGGTCCCCGGTACGTGTACATGATGCATGCAGATCCGTCCACGGTATCAAACACAGCTCGCTGTACCGTACCACACCATACACGCGAACTCCGTCGCACACACACACAGTGTGTGTGTGTACAACCACACACACACTGCGTGTGTACAACCACACACTGCGTGTGTACAACCACACACTGCGTGTGTACAACCACACACAGTGTGTGTACAACCACACACACACAGTGTATGTACAACCACACACAGTGCGTGTACAACCACACACTGTGTGTACAACCACACACATGGTGTGTGTACAACCACACACACATAGTGTGTGTACAACCACACATACACAGTGTGTGTACAACCACACACACAGTGTATGTACAACCACACACAGTGTATGTACAACCACACAGTGTATGTATAACCACACACACTAGAACACAATACAATGGCACACAGGGTAGGAGGCATGAACACTTAGACACACATGCTAGTAACACACACACACCCCGACACGTGTGCACACACCCCGACACGTGTATACATACTCACACTCACACACACCATTGTGTACACAGATTGTACACAGATTGTACACACACTACATAAATACGTACACGACACAAACAAAGAGAAAGATCCCCCGTGTAGCCTTAACAGGATGTTGGGGCAAGTGCTGTCAGCGAGCACCTATGAAGGCCGGGACGATACACACACACACGTACACACACGCACGCACTGTCTGTGTGTATAGTGTCTGTGTGTAGTGTCTGCGTGTGTAGTGTGTGTGTAGTGTATGTGTGTGTGTAGTGTCTGTGTGTGTAGTGTCTGTGTGTGTAGTGTCTGTGTGTGTGTAGTGTCTGTGTGTAGTGTGTGTGTGTAGTGTCTGTGTGTGTGTGTAGTGTCTGTGTGTGTGTAGTGTGTGTGTGTGTAGTGTGTGTGTGTAGTGTCTGTGTGTGTGTAGTGTCTGTGTGTGTGTAGTGTCTGTGTGTAGTGTATGTGTGTAGTGTATGTGTGTGTGTAGTGTCTGTGTGTAGTGTCTGTGTGTAGTGTCTGTGTGTGTATAGTGTCTGTGTGTGTATAGTGTGTGTGTGTAGTGTCTGTGTGTGTGTGTAGTGTCTGTGTGTGTGTGTGGTGTCTGTGTGTGTGTGTAGTGTGTGTGTGTGTAGTGTCTGTGTGTGTGTGTAGTGTATGTGTGTGTGTGTAGTGTCTGTGTGTATATATAGTGTCTGTGTGTGTGTGTATATAGTGTCTGTGTGTGTGTAGTGTCTGTGTGTGTGTAGTGTCTGCGTGTGTAGTGTCTGTGTGTGTGTGTAGTGTCTGTGTGTGTGTGTAGTCTGTGTGTATAGTGTGTGTATAGTGTCTGTGTGTGTAGTGGCTGTGTGTGTGTAGTCTATGTGTGTGTGTGTAGTGTATGTGTGTGTGTAGGTGTGTATAGTGTCTGTGTGTGTAGTGTCTGTGTGTGTGTAGTCTATGTGTGTGTGTAGTGTCTGTGTGTGTGTGTAGTGTCTGTGTGTGTGTAGTGTCTGTGTGTGTAGTGTCTGTGTGTGTGTAGTGTCTGTGTGTGTGTAGTGTCTGTGTGTGTAGTGTCTGTGTAGTGTCTATATCTGTGTAGTGTCTATATGTGTGTAGTGTTTATATGTGTGTGTAGTGTCTGTGTGTGTGTAGTGTCTGTGTGTGTGTAGTGTCTGTGTGTGTGTAGTGTCTGTGTGTGTGTAGTGTCTGCGTGTGTAGTGTCTGCGTGTGTATAGTGTTTATATGTGTGTGTATAGTGTTTATATGTGTGTGTGTGGTGTCTGTGTGTGTGTAGTGTCTGTGTGTGTGTAGTGTCTGTGTGTGTGTGTAGTGTGTGTAGTGTCTGTGTGTGTAGTGTCTGTGTGTGTGTAGTGTCTGTGTGTGTAGTGTGTGTGTGTAGTGTGTGTGTGTAGTGTCTGTGTGTGTGTAGTGTCTGTGTGTGTGTAGTGTATGTGTGTGTGGTGTCTGTGTGTGTGTAGTGTCTGTGTGTGTGTAGTGTCTGTGTGTGTGTAGTGTCTGTGTGTGTGTAGTGTCTATGTGTGTGTGTAGTGTCTGTGTGTGTAGTGTCTGTGTGTGTAGTGTTTGTGTGTGTGTAGTGTCTGTGTGTGTGTAGTGTGTGTGTGTACGCGCGCGTTGTTCATTCCGCGTGAAGATTTCACACCGAGAGCGGTGTCGCTTCTCACTCACGCAGGGGCAGGGAGACGGAACGCACGGAACGCGCTCGCCCCAAAGCGCCGCCGCGTTCAGGTCGCACATTCCCCGATTCCCGTCGTCACCACCCCCCACACCACCACGGACAGCCGTCGCTGAGCCTCGAGACTCCTTGCCAAGAGGGTTCCTCCCCCCTGCCAAACGTTGTCGAAGTGATGCGGGGTGATGTCCCTGCCACCGCCGCCGCTGCTGCTGCTGAGATGGAAATTGGATTGAAAGCAACACGAGCGTTGGTGTCAGCGTGCCTCCCCTAGGTCGACTCAGACTCGAATGAGTACCTGGTGCGGTGTGTAGTCAACATCGCCCCTGGGAAGACGAAGGCGGCCGTGCAGTGGTGTTCGCCACCCACCCCTTCGTGTGCCGTGCCGGCCTTCATAGGTGCTGCTCGCTAACCGCACTTGCCCCGACAGCCTGTTAAGGATGCACGGGGGATCTTTGTCTTTGTGGGGAGCGGTGGTGCAGCGGTTAGCGCGCTGCGCTACGAACCCGGCGAGCCGAGTTCGATTCCCGCTCACGGCCAATACCGGTGACGATTATCTGAACCGGTCCTGGGCCTCCCCTAGGTCGACTCAGTCTCAAATGAGTGCCTGGTGCGGTGTGTAGTAATAATCGCAATCGGGGAGACAAAGGCGGCCGGGCGTGGTGCTGGCCACCCACCCCCTCGTGTGCAACAGTTCCGGCAGCCTTCATAGGTGCTGCTCGCTGACAGCGCTTGCCCCAACAGTCTGCTGAGGCTACGCTCAATCCCAACGGAGTAACCCGCAGGGTAATTGTCCGGCTTTGGGATGTTTGTCCAGCAGCAGCAGCAGCACTGTATCACGCGCGGGGTTTGCAGCTTTTTGGAAGTAAACGTCACAGCAGTGCCACTTTCACAGCCCCCCCCCCCCCCCCCCCAATGTCTGCCCATCACCTTCACGGCCAACAGCAACGCGCCAGGTTCGGTGACTCGCTGTGTTGCCTGCTTTGTCTACGCAGCAGTCAGGTCCGGCGTGAATCCAGCAGCAGCGTTTGCCCAACACGCCGTGATACCGTACTGCTGATGAGACCCAGGCGGCCGAAACCATTCCAGATTCTCCCCCACCCCACCCTCCTTGCTTGAACACTGATGGATTACACCTTTTTTTTACTTGCACGTGGAGGACATGGAACTGGCCCGTTGTTCTCTTAACAAGGCTCTGGGTATTCTCAGCCACAGTCGTTAACTCTCTCTCTCTCTTATCCGCGCGTGAGAGACATGTACGTGCTTACAGGAGGAACACCTGTGCCAGCTTGCAACGCTCAGAGGACAGGCAGACGATGCCTGTGACTCATCCTGCAAGTTATCCTTTGCAGGGTGTGCTGCGTGAAAGGGGTTCACAGATCCGCTCCATCATCGAGCTCCATCATCGAGCTCTCTCTGGCAGGCGAGGGGCTGCGTTGGTCCGGGTCACGTAACCCCGGCATTGCACAGCCATCGCATTACCCAGGCAGCTTCTGCCCTATGCATAGCTCTCCAAGTGGGAACGGCGTAGACCAGAGCAGGGATGGGCTGCTGATGTGGTGCAGGACTTGGAGATAGATAAGTAGCCTTGCTGATAGCTGGAACTAGCGGTGTCAAGATCGGCCTCTGCGGAGGAGGCTCGTGAAGGACGCTGCTGCTGCTGCTGCTACTGGGCAGCAGCAGCAACAACGGAGGGCAGCGGAGCGACGCTCACGACAACGAGCGGAGCGCCGGGTGGATAAAACCCAGCAAGTTGGCGCAGGGGATGGGCACAGGCGCTACATCTGCCAGTCATCTCGGCCAGTCAACAAGCATGACACCCGGGTGTCTCGTAACCTTCCGTCAGCGAGCCTTCGACACCCCACGTGGCCTCAAAGTGCACCTAGCCTCAAAGTGCACCTAGCCTGGCACAACCACTGCTGCGACGTCACCACCACGTAGTGGCGAATGGCTGCCGTCGTCATTGTGTCGAGTATAAAGCGCAGCCAGTTGGCACAGTCGGGGACACACAGGTGGTGCATCTGCCACTCATCTCCGTCGGTCAACCCATGGCACTTGGGGTCTGTCCCGAGACCTCCTGCCAGCAGCGAGCCTTTGACACTTCACGAGGAAGCCTCAGAGTGCACCTAGCCTGGCACAAAGCGTCGTGGTGACGTCATTCGCCACTTAGCGGCGAATGACGTCTGTTGTGTCTACAGTGGCCGTTGCAGAGTTCGATTCCCGCTCGCAGCCACCGACGCCAGTGACGATTATCTGAACCGGTCCTGCGCCTCCCCTAGGTCGACTCGGCCTCGAATGAGTACCTGGGACGGTGTGTAAACATCGCCACTGGGGAGACAAAGGCGGCCGGGCATGGTGCTGGCTGGCTCTTCGCTCACAGCACTTGCCCCCACAGTCTTGCCCGAGGCTTAACGGGAAGAACTTTCTCCTTGTCTCGTGTGTCTGAAGCAGCTCCCGCTGGTGGAGACCCTGGGAGTCGAGGGACATCACTCGCCAGCATCAAGACGCGCGGGTAAGCTTCGACGCGCCTGCACAGCCCTGTATCGATCCACTGCTGGATGAGTTCCGCCCCACACTGCGTGTGGCTCGTGGGGGTAATTTGACCGAGCTCCACGGAGCTTCTGAATCGCCGGTTGGTGAAGCCTGGCGGGTGAGTGGGGGTGGCAGCATAGAAGTGCAGTGCGATAATTAATATCGCTCCACTGCTGCCGCGTGTGTGGCCCTGTTGCGCATGCCATAATTTTCGCGAGCCATGGTCAATCCACTGCTGGATGGTGGCCTCTCCGGCCCTCCTACGTAGTGCACGAAAGAGGTTCAGCATACGTACATAGATCCTGCGATGTAACAGTCCGCCCAGCGACTGCACACATTGTATACCTTAGGTATTTGTTACGTCGCTAAAGTCAACCACTGCTGCATATCACTGAGTCACTGGTGGCGCACGCCTGTGATCCAGCAGCGCTCTGTGGCTTGGCGAGGGTTGGCGGTTCACAGAGGTTTGTGGAACTCCCTCCCCTTACCCCTTGGGTGTCAACGTAGCAATTCCCTGGCTCGCCAGGGCACGGTAGTGGTACAGCGAGTGGGTCGATTTCCATCTGTAATCCATCTGTTTGGGGGAGAGCGCACGCGTACGAACACTCAGTTTAACGCGTAGCAGTCGTAGGAGGCTTTCACGACCAATATTATCCACAACAGAGGGTTTTTTGGGGGTTAGATCGCGTAAATATAAATGTGTCGTTAAACCCGCCACCACCCGACACAGCCAACTAGTAAGGTTTGTCACGTGAACAAAACGTGCCAACTCGTTACCAGTTCAGCACACCGGCTGTGCGTTTGAGAGTAAAACCACAACATTTACAATTCGAGTACGACGTTTCGCCCCGGCAAGCGGAGAACACAAGACGTGAGTGTTACTAACCTAACATTAAAACAGCTAAGAGACAACATATATACTATATTCTTTGTTATTTCGGTAAAGTCGCGTAGAAGGGAAATAATCAAATAATAAAATGAAAACATAATATAATAAAATTCTCGCGGCGTTTTGGCCACAACGCAAACAGAGCTGTGGGAAAGAAAGTCTTTACGACAAGAAAGTCTTTAGGACAGTTCTGTTTCCTCACCTGAGGACGGCTGCTTGCGTTGTGGCCGAAACGTCGTGAGAATTTTTTATTTTATTATGTTTATTTTTATTATTTTATTGTTTCCCTTCTACGTGACTTTACCGAAAGAAACAAGAATATGAATCCCTGCAGTCACAAAAGCTTTAAATCGAAATTTAGCATATATACTGTGCGCATTACAAACGTATTTAAGACTCAAAAGTGTGTGCGTTACAAAACTCTACGGCTTTTTAAAATGCTACTCTGCATGGTTGATGCTGGAACAAAAATAAGTAACATCTAATTATTAAAAGAGGTGATGACTGTTTCTCTCTCTCTTTGCCCGGAAGCACGCTGAAGATTCCCAGAGTCAGTCCGCGCCGCCGGCTAAAGCAGCAAAACTCTGTTCTGGATTCCAACACCCAGTGAAGTGAGTTTCACATCCGTTGATAAATCACTGCCTGTGTGTGCTCACATCATGTACACCATCATCCTTCCCACTGATGTGCGTGTGCACGCGTGTGTGTGTGTGTGTGCTCGACGTACGTAGCCAACCGTGCTCCGATTAGCACGGTTGGCTACGTACGGTTCAACATACATACATAACAGCACTTGCCCCAACAATCTGTGGAAGGCTATACGGGGGGATGTTTGTATTTGTGTTCGTTGTGATGAGCGGTAGTGTAGTGGTTAGCACACTGCGCTACGAACCCGGCGACCCGAGTTCGGTTCCAGCTCACGGTCGACACCAGCGACGATTGTCTGAAATTGTCCTGGGCCTCCCCCTAGGTCGACTCGGCCTCAAATGAGTACCCGGCGTGGTGTTGGCCACCCACCCCCTCGTGCTCCGTGCCGGCCTTCATAGGTGCTGCTTACAACACTCGTCCTGAAAGTCTGTTCAGGCTACACGGGGGATCTTTGTCTGTTTGATTCCCACTTGCGGTCAACACACCGGTGACGATTATCTGAGCCGGTCCTGGGTCACCGCTAGGTCGACTAAGCCTCAAATGAGGGCTTGGTGCGGCGTGTAAACATCAGCCCTGGGGGAGACAAAGGCGGCCGGGCGTGGAGCAGGCCGCACCACCACCTTGTCCCGTTCCAACCTTAACAGGCGCTCGCTAACTTGTAAGAGTTTTGACGAGGGTGTCTATGTGTAACAAGCGTGCGGTCTTTGTTGTGATGCCAAGCATTGTGTTATGTCAAAAACATCGCGTTATCGTAGCAGGCATCGTGTTCACTTGACACACGATGCCCAGTGTCCCGGTGTGTGTACGTATGTTCAACTTCTTTCGCACCGTACGTAGCCAACCGTGCTATCGTCCTGTCAGGCGTCATTTTGTCAGCTGTTTGTGTTGCTACGTGCAGTGTTTCGTCCTATCAGCCGTTGTGTTGTGATCACACAAAGTGTGGAGTTGCCACGTGCAGTGTGTCGTCCTATCAGCTGTTGTGTTGTAATCACACAAAGTGTGGTGTTGCCACGTGCAGTGTTTCGTCCTATCAGCTGTTGTGTTGTAATCACACAAAGTGTGGTGTTGCCACGTGCAGTGTGTCGTCCTATCAGCTGTTGTGTTGTGATCACACAAAGTGTTGTGTTGCCACGTGCAGTGTGTCGTCCTATCAGCTGTTGTGTTGTGATCACACAAAGTGTTGTGTTGCCACGTGCAGTGTGTCGTCCTATCAGCCGTTGTGTTGTGATCACACAAAGTGTATGATGGGTGGTGATGTGGTGATGTTGTGGCTCAGCAGTAGCACAGGTCCACGGTTCGAATCGAGCGGCCGCCCCGGTAATTTCTGCGGTGTGCGGCAACCACAATGATGATAATAATGTACCTCTCGTCGCCGTCTGCTCCACTCACGAAGGACGTTAAATAATCTCCGTGACGTCGTTCGCAAGAGCCGGCCCATCGTGTGCCGGCGTTGGCATCCACGTTTACCAAATTTGAAAATTACAAACCGCAAATAACTCCCATTAGGAATGGCACACACACACACTCAGCGCCAATCATCGCTGCCACCTGGCAGACGAATGCCCCAGGCCAGTCTCTAGCTCATGAGACTATCCCTGGCGCCCTGAGTGAAACTCACCGCTCATTCAGCTACCCAACCGCTCACTCATTCACTCGACCACTCATTCCCTCACTCAAGCACTCGCTAATTCACTCGCTCAACCACTCGCTCGCACCTCCGATGAGCACGGTTGGCTACGTACAGTGCGATAGAAGTTCAACAGACAGGCATGCATACTCGACCATTCACTCGCTTACTCGACCACTCGCTCACAGCTCGGCCAACGAGACGCTCGGTTGACCTGAATGCGTTGTGCACCGTGGGTGCGTCGTATTGCACGTGTTGTTTTACATCTTTCGCGCCGTGCGTTGCTATCGGGCCGTGATGCAGGATCATGTGGCCAAAGTCGAAGACGTTCGACTACCTCTACAGAAGTGGCCAGAGCCTCCTGGCGAACTTCCCCGTGCAGGCCACGTTATCGTTCTACGACTCCAAGAGCGACGACGAGGACGAGGACGAGGACGATGACGACGATGAGAACGAAGATGATGCTTACGCCCGCCAGGGAGATTACCGCGATCGGCGCGACGATGCTGACGACGCCGACGATGGCGCTGGTGACGACGGTCGCGCTGGTGTTGGTAGTGGCAGTGCCAATTGTGAATTCGGAGCAAGTTCAAACAGAGGATCGACTAATATTCAACAACCTGGACGACGACAACAACAACAACAACAATAACAGCGGCGATCGTTTTTAACGACCTCGATCTCAAGCTACTTTTTCGAGGTCCATCCCTCGGTCGGGATATCCTCGATCAATTTCGCGACCGCACACCGTCACAGCCTCGGTCGACGCGCTGCCGGACGAACGCCTCCCCGCCACCTCCCCAAGGCGCCGTCTCGCCATCGTTGCGAGTGCGGCAATCCGCCCGCTGAACGTGCCGCAGAGCCGGGTTCACCGCTCCCTGTCTCGCCGTCGCGGCGAGGAGTTCCCCTCCGTCGCGGGCGCGCCCCTCTGCCGGGGCTTTGCTTCCCGCCGGGCCGCCGTCGCCGACCGCCAAACCGCCGGGCGACGTTCACCCGGCGGCCGTTTGGCGCTGAGAAGCCGAAGAGGGGCGCGGGACGGGAGAGGGTGGCTCGGACGCTCGTGCGGATGTGGGACAAGCGTTGTGTGTGGGTGTACTGTGTGCGTGTGTGTACTGTGTGTGTACTGTGTGCGTGTGTGTACTGTGTGTGTACTGTGTGCGTGGGTGTACTGTGTGTGTGTGTGTACTGTGTGCGTGTGTGTACTGTGTGCGTGTGTGTACTGTGTGTGTACTGTGTGCGTGGGTGTACTGTGTGCGTGTGTGTACTGTGAGCGTGTGTGTACTGTGTGTGTACTGTGTGCGTGGGTGTACTGTGTGTGTGTACTGTGTGTGTACCGTGTGCGTGTGTGTACTGTGTGCGTGTGTGTACTGTGTGCGTGTGTGTACTGTGTGCGTGTGTGTACTGTGTGTGTACTGTGTGCGCTCCAGGGCAGGCAGCTGTCTCACGTAGAGATACATACACACAGAGATACATACAGACAGAGTAACATACAGAGATACATACACACAGAGATACACACAGAGATACACATAGAGATACACCCAGAGGTACAACATTGTGTGTGTGTGTGTAAGGTGTGCGCGTAACACGGCAGGCAGCTGTCTCGCACGGTTCATTGTGCGTTGGGTGACTGCTCTGGGTCTGGATGCTTCGCGATTCCGCTTTGTGTTCCTTTTTTTATTTGGATGCATCTACTGACCACAAGTGCATCGAGCGAGGCAGGGCTGTGTGCAACCAGGACTACATTTCCCACTCGGTTTTGCGGTAGGGATCATGGACAGCGTAAGGCACTGCCACTAGACGACACGGGGCATCATCCCACAATAACAAGAGTCCCGAACTGTCCCATCGGGGTAATGAAGCGCCGATTCTGATGACTTTCAAGCGTAAGTTGAATTAAATGGAATCGTTATGTGCCGGAGGTGTTGTTCAACAGGCGGCCCTGGGATTTGATTGATTGGCTGTTCGATTGTGATCTTCAATGTGGCACACAGCGCGTGTACATATGAGTGCTTGTGCGTGTGTTGTGTGTATATTTTGTAGGTAGAGTTCAGTGTTGTTATATAGCGTTAGCGTCTTTTGGTGTTTTGTTTTTGCACTCTTGTAAATATGAATCGTTTTGTTTATTTAAAATGCAATAAAAAAAATCTGGTGACTTTAATGTCTGTTAAAGTCTAAATATATACATACATGTATGTGTATGCAATAGGGTAAAGGTGCAGGCCTGCAAGTGCTTGCTCTAGAGAGCTCCCCTCCTCTCTCTCGCGTGGCATTTCGGCTCTACTCTTCCCCCACGCTGTTGCAGCTGCTGCAGCGAGAAGAGCAGCGCTGGTTTTCTCACTCGGAGGTGGAGGCGCAAATAATTATTTTATCCCTGGAGGGAGGGAGGGATGGCGAGCGGGAGTCAACCCCTGGCCGGAATTTGAACTCGTGACCACCACACCACCCCGCCGCTGATGGTGATGGTGGTGGTGATGGGAGCGAGTGAGTGAGTGGTGGTGATGGTGATGGGAGGGAGTGAGTGAGTGGTGGTGATGGTGGCGGTGATGGGAGCGAGTGAGTGAGTGGTGGTGATGGTGATGGGAGGGAGTGAGTGAGTGGTGGTGATGGTGATGGGAGGGAGTGAGTGAGTGGTGGTGATGGTGGCGGTGATGGGAGCGAGTGAGTGAGTGGTGGTGATGGTGATGGGAGGGAGTGAGTGAGTGGTGGTGATGGTGATGGGAGGGAGTGAGTGAGTGGTGGTGATGGTGGCGGTGATGGGAGCGAGTGAGTGAGTGGTGGTGATGGTGATGGGAGGGAGTGAGTGAGTGGTGGTGATGGTGATGGGAGGGAGTGAGTGAGTGGTGGTGATGGTGATGGGAGGGAGTGAGTGAGGTGGCTCTAGGGGTGGAGTGAGCGAGTGGTGATGGTGGTGATGGGAGTTAGTGAGTGGTGGTGATGGGAGTTAGTGAGTGGTGGTGGTGGTGATGGGAGTGAGTGAGTGGTGGTGGTGATGGTGGTAATGGTGATGGGAGGGAGTGAGTGAGTGGTGGTGATGGTGATGGGAGGGAGTGAGTGAGGTGGCTCTAGGGGTGGAGTGAGCGAGTGGTGATGGCGGTGATGGGAGTTAGTGAGTGGTGGTGATGGGAGTGAGTGAGTGAGTGGTGATAGTGGTGATGGTGATGGGAGGGAGTGAGTGAGTGGTGGTGATGGTGATGGGAGGGAGTGAGTGAGGTGGCTCTAGGGGTGGAGTGAGCGAGTGGTGATGGTGGTGATGGGAGTTAGTGAGTGGTGGTGGTGGTGGTGATGGGAGTGAGTGAGTGGTGGTGGTGATGGTGGTGATGGGAGGGAGTGAGTGAGTGAGTGGTGGTGATGGTGATGGGAGGGAGTGAGTGAGTGAGCGCAGTGTAATTGGATAAACCAGGAGAGGAGACGCAAGCCTGGAGAATCTGAGATGGAATTTGGATTGAAAGCCACACGTGTGTGTGTGTCAGTGTGTGTGTGTCAGTGTGTGTGCGCTGCGTCATGGGCCTCCCCTAGGTCGACTCGGACTCAAATGAGTACCTGGTGCGATGAGTAAAACATCGCTACTGGGGAGACAAAGACGGCCGGGCGTGGTGCTGGCCACTCACCGCCTCGTGTGCCCTACCGGCCTTCATAGGTGCTGCTCGTTGACAGCACTTGCCCCGACAGTCTGTTAAGACTACACGGGGGATCTTTGTATTTGTTCGGAAGGTGTGGTCCCTCTTAAAAGGAAGATTGGCATCAGTTAAGGTTTTTTTAATATTTTCTCGGCTCACGCCTGTTTAACCAGACTCCCACCGCCGCTTATAAACTTTAGACTTTAAAGTGTAAAATATGTCGGCGGCTAGGGGGAGCGGTGGCGCAGTGGTTAGCGCACCCCAGCCTGAACCACTCAAGCCACGCTAGTTCCATTCCCGGCTAAGTCTACAGGAGCGCACAGTCTGTCCCGGGACTCGCTTAGGTCGACGCGGCCTGAAAAGTGAACGCTTGGTGCGGCGTACCAACAACAGTAGCACTGGGGAGGCAAAGGCGGCCGGGCGTGGCTGGTTGTTCACGCTGTGCTGTACTGTATTAGATACAAGGCATTTTTTTTACAACACACACTGTTTATATTTCCCGCCGTGTTGTTGTGTAAAGTTACACCCGGAATGCCCTCGCATTTCGTCCGATCTCGCACGGCTAAGCGGACTGTGAGGCCTGGCTATTTGTTTGGATGGGGCACCCCAGCAGACGCCGGGCGGACGTTTTGGCGCAACGTGGCCGCGTTCACTGTGGGGGGCGGGGGGGGGGAGGCCGCTCGGACGCACCAACAGCCGGATTGTAATCGTGGCTGGGGACTCAGAGGGCTGTGCTGGGTCTGTGGAGTCCGTCCGCCGCACTGCCGCACTCCCACGACGCCGTCTCTGCTGCCATGCCGCGTGCCGCTCAGCGGCGCAGCATCGAAACGGTAGCTCGTCGTGGACCGCTGAGAAACAGCGTGACAACGGGGGGCGTGTTCCGTGTTATAACGGGGGGTGCACATCCCGTGTTATAACGGGGGGGGCGTGTTCCGTGTTATAACGGGGGGTGCACATCCCGTGTTATAACGGGGGGGGGCGTGTTCCGTGTTATAACGGGGGGTGCACATCCCGTGGTATAACGGGGGGGGCGTGTTCCGTGTTATAACGGGGGGCGCGTTCCGTGTTATAACGGGGGGGGGGGCGTGTTCCGTGTTATAGCGGGGGGCGCGTTCCGTGTTATAACGGGGGGGCACATTCCGTGTTATAACGGGGGGGGGCGTGTTCCGTGTTATAACGGGGGGGGGCGTTCCGTGTTATAACGGGGGGCGTGTTCCGTGTTATAACGGGGGGCGCGTTCCGTGTTATAACGGGGGGCGTGTTCAGTGTTATAACGGGGGGCGCGTTCAGTGTTATAACGGGGGGCGTGTTCCGTGTTATAACGGGGGGTGCACGTTCCGTGTTATAACGGGGGCACATTCCGTGTTATAACGGGGGGCATGTTCCGTGTTATAACGGGGGCACATTCCGTGTTATAACGGGGGGCGTGTTCCGTGTTATAACGGGGGCACGTTCCGTGTTATAACGGGGGGCGTGTTCCGTGTTATAACGGGGGCACATTCTGTGTTATAACGGGGGCACATTCCGTGTTATAACGGGGGGCGCGTTCCGTGTTATAACGGGGGGCGTGTTCCTTGTTATAACGGGGGCACATTCCGTGTTATAACGGGGGCACATTCCGTGTTATAACTGGGGGCGTGTTCCGTGTTATAACGGGGGGCGTGTTCCGTGTTATAACGGGGGCACATTCCGTGTTATAACGGGGGCACATTCCGTGTTATAACGGGGTGCGTGTTCCGTGTTATAACGGGGGGCGTGTTTCATGTTAAAATGGGGGCACATTCCGTGTTATAACGGGGGCAGATTCCGTGTTATAACGGGGGGCGCGTTCCGTGTTATAACGGGGGCGTGTTTCATGTTAAAATGGGGGCACATTCCGTGTTATAACGGGGGGCACATTCCGTGTTATAACGGGGTGCGTGTTCCGTGTTATAACGGGGTGCGCGTTCCGTGTTATAACGGGGGGGCGTGTTCCGTGTTATAACGGGGGGCGTTTTGTGAATCGCGTTTCCGAATAGATGCACCGCGTTGTGTGAGAACGCGTTCAGCGAGGACTTGCGTAGTAAGGTAGCCCCCACCCCCACGACCCGCATGGAGTGTGTGGGGGGGGGGGCCTTCATCCAGCAGTGGATTTAAACGAATGGGTGCGCTTCCACGTGTCCATGTGGAGTCAGGGGAGCGACACCCGCCAGCAACTTAGCAA